TTAAAAATATGTTTATCATAATGACACATCAACTCGTCTCCTTACCCAAGAAAAATAAAAATGTATGTCCATACAAAAAACTAAGCAATAAAAAGGAATGGACTACTGATAAACAACATGAATGACTCTTAAAAACATGCTGAGCAAAGAAGCTGGATACAGACTCATTTATATGAAACCGTAGAAAAGACAAATCTAATCTGTAGTGACAGTGAGCAGATCAATGATTGCGTAGGGTATAGAAAGAGGATGACTAGGAAGGACACAATAAACCTATTTTGGGTGAAAAAAAATATTCTATTTCTTGACTGTAGTGGTTACATGCATATACATACATGTAGATGGATATATATATAAATCTATCAAAACATAACAAACTGTACACCTAATATGGCCACATTTTACGGGATTGTGTATAAATTATACCTCAATAAAGTTGATTTTTAAAAATTATTGTAGGTTATTATTATTGTATTGGAATTCAGGGCCACCTTGTCACAAGAAAACACAGCACAGGGGCAATACGGCCGGTGCCCAGAGAGGGGGCATTTAGACCATCACGGCCAAAGGGAAATCCTCCACCCCAGATCAGCTAGCCCCACCAAGCAGCTGACAAAAAGCAGCCTGGGGCCTGGAATAAATTCACAAGGCAGTCACGCCACAAAGGCTGCTGTCCTTGGGCAATTCCTACAGCTGTGCTGGCTCAGAGCCAGTGGACTTGGGGTGTATGTGACCCAGTGAGACACAAGGTGTGGTAGCCAAGCCAGTGCCTGGGTCACCCCTCTCCCAACTCCAGGCAGTGCAATGTAGAAAGAGTTTTTTTCCACTTGGAGAAAGGAAAGGGAAGAGTTCAGAGGACTTTGTTTTGCAACCTGGGTACCACCTCAGCCACAGTAAAATAAAGTACCAAGAAGACACCTAGGGACTGATTCTGGGACTTAGTTCCTAGATGACATTTCTAGACCATCCTGGGCCAGAAGGAAACACGCTGCCCTGAAGGGAAGGACCCAGTCCTGGCAGGATTCACTACCTACTGCCTAAAGAGCTCTTGGGCTTTGAATAAACATCAGAGATAGCCAGGAAACAGTAATTGAGCTTTGGGTGAGACTGGGCTGGCTTCAGGTGTGATCTGGCACTGAAGGTCATGAGGGAGTGCCCACATCACACTTCCCCAAACATCAGCAGCCCAGCACAGAGTGAGGGAAGAGAGTGAGAGACTCTGCCTGGTAATCCAGGGAACTCTCCCTTATCTTACCCAAGTTCACCAAGGCAGTACCACCAGGAGTGTGCAAGAGTCACAGAATTACTGGGCTTGGAGAATCCCCAGTGCTACAGCTGCTGTGACCAAAGACAGATCACAACACTCAATTCCCTTTGAATATCTGGAAAGCCTTCTCAACAAGGACAGTTAAAACAAGCCCAGATTGTAAAGATTAGAAAAAATACCTGACTCTTTGATGTCCAGATGTCTATGAACATCATTCACAAGCATCAAGGCCTCTAGGAAAACAAGAGCTCACCAAACAAACTAAATAAGGTACCAGTGGCCAATCCTGGAGTGACAGAGATATGTGACCTTTCAGACAAAGAATTCAAAATAGTC